GACTGCCCATTCAGTTTGACTGCAGAGTGCTGACTATGCTAATTCCCAAAGGAGCTTATTGGACACATGGAATTTGAAGGGTGGGAGTCCAATGAAATGATGCTGAGATTCATTCTGATTACTCCTGAATCCATCTAAACTGTTTAAAGGTTAAGACCAAAATACTTTCTTCTGAATAATTGAATATTTCAGTCCGAAGGCATTGGTTGTCTACCACTCCATTATGCTTCATAAGAATCGATTGAAGAGCATATAAGAACTCTATAATTCCGAGATTTGGCAGACAAATTTTCAGATTTTGATTTGATGGTTGCAGGATCAGGCCTGGAAAGCTGTATGCAGGTGGACCATGATTTGAGAGACTTTGAACCAGTATCTCCCTAGTTTGGTTGCAAATTGGAATCACCTGCCAAGTTTTCAAACTAGAACTCTGCCGAGGCCTCATTCTACCCAACAATATTTGCGAAGATCTGGGGGTGAAGGCCCAGGCACAGATATTTTTTTAAGCACTGGGGTGACAACTTCTGTAACTAGCCTAAAAGGGATCTCTGTCAGGTTCGAGAATGCCATGCTGGTGTTTTGCAAAATATTTGACAGCATAAGCTTCTCTTTTTTTTTTTTTTTTTTTTTTATCCTCACCCGAGGACATTTTTCGATATTTTGTTCAGATAGAGTGGGAGGGAGAGACAGGAAGAGAGAGAGAGAGAGAAACATCGACGTGAAAGGGACACATCGAGTGGCCGCCACCCGCACGACCTGACCAGGGCCGGGGACAAACTGCAGCCGAAGCACATGCCCTCAGCGGGAACCGAACCCAGGTCTCTGTAGACCGCAGGCCAACCCTCTAACCGCTGAGCCAAACCGGCCAGGGCTCTTTTTTTAATATTAGAGAAAATTAGGATAGAAGATATCTAACATAACAGGACCAAGCTTTTCAACTTAGAAAGTCTGCATTTTCCTAACAGGGTAAGCAAGTTAAGAAAGGACATTTCCAGCACAGATTCAGGGACAAAGGGGCTGCAAAGCCAACACACCCTTCCAGTCAGAGTCTACCACTCTCTTAGCACTAACACATCCCTAAACCCTCCTTCTTTCCTTCACCTCTGTCCTCCTGGTATTGCTGAGACTTAACTCTGTGTGCAACCTCCTGCCCCCAGCAGAGCTGCGCAAGCCCATCCTGTTCTCCCTGCACAGACTGGCTTTCTCTCAGCCAGCCCTTGTATCAGCTCTGCAAAGCTATCTTAATTGTAAATTGAACTCCTGAGAGCTCATGACTTGCAATAGATGTTCTGCTGCCCTCTCATTCAAACTGCAATTTTTATTTTTTCAGCCACGCATCTCCCTAAAAAGCATCTCCAGAGGAGACCACCGCTCTTATCCTCCCCCTCTGAGTTACAATTCACAACTTACTGTTCTTTACTGAAGCTTTCAAATAGTTATTACAGGGCTCTCGTCGCTCAGCAAACTTTTCTGGTTTAAATTGCACACCAGATGCTTTAAATTATCTGAACATTATACTGACCTCTTCTCTAAACTTTATTTTTAACTTAATATATATTGAGCACATTTAAAAAGCTAGGTACCATGATAGGCACTACTAATAGGTACAATAAGAGTCTTATCCTTATATAGTAGGTAAGGAGACTGAGGCTTAGTAAGGTATGATTTGTTGAGAAAATAAGATGGAGAGGCAGAACCTGAACTTAGATCTACTTCATACGTTCTTAACATCAATTTATTTTAAAATTATTGATTAATTTATTTATTACTGACTATTTCAGAAACACACAACTGTATAGCATAATATAATAAACATTTGAGTACTGGCGTAAGAAACAGAACATTAGAAATGTAGTTGAACGCTCTGTAGATGACAGTCTAATTACATTTTCCTCAGTCATCTTCCTTCCCCAAAGCTGACCATGGGTAGAACTGGAGCTGTCTCCAGCTGAGGGAAGGGGCTGGGCCTCCATGCCCCGTATTGACCAGCCATTCGATATAGGCTGACTTCAGAGTAAAGACACATAACTTGGGTGAAGTATCTCTCTTTGTCCAAAGATTCAGCTGTGAGTTATCCAAAGCTAACACTCCTGATAGCTGTGAAAATAGGTCACTGTCTTAAACAAGAGCTCTAGGAGACAGTTTATAGTATCAAATATAGAAACTGATTGAAATATTTGCTATATTGTTGGCTTATGTTTGCACCTAGGTTGATAAAATAATTTGAACTTGATGTAGATTGAATTGTTGGTCCAATTTCTTGTACTTCTAAATCTGTCATTTTCTACATCTACTATCAAGGTTATGAAAACTTATCAAATAAACTGTGATGCTCTCCTCCCCCCCCCCCCCCCCATTCTCTGGTATTATTTCTTCTTTAAATGGTTGGAAGAACTCATTGGTAAAATGTCTGAATTGTCATTTTTAATTTTTTTAGTTTTGTAAATATATAACTTTGGATTTAATTGTTATAATGTTTTATTAAAAACTGTTACTTTATTTGCCTTCTTGAGTTTATTTGGTGATTTTTTTTCCCTAGGAAATTGTTCAGCTTGCATAGGTATTCTCATTTATCGGTATAAGTTGTTCATAATATTATCTGATCTCCTTGAATCACTAATCTATACTTATGTCCCCCTTTTCATTATTATTATTGTAAACATATGCTTTTTCTAAAGTTAAGCATTCATCCCATATTCCTCAAGACTAAATAAGAAATGGTACAATATAAACTACCTTCAATCTCAGTAACTTAACCCATCAAAAATTCATTTCTTGCTAATACAGAGACCACTTCAGGTAGATGTTCTCAATAATCCAGGCTGCTGTGAGGACTTCACCAGGCGCAGAAGTACGCAGTGGGTGGTCCGAGTGGCTTTACAGTGCTTTAGCCCTGGAGTGATTGATACATTTCACTTTCACCCACATCTCCTTGCCCAGAAATAATCACATGGCCCTTCCAAACTGCAAGGAAACTGAGAAGTATGGAATTTTGGAAGAAGAGTTGAAGGAGATTATTGAGCACTCTAAAGGTCTACCACATGTTTAACACTGAGTCTAAATGTAATCAACATCTCCATTCTTCCACCAAACAATTGAGGAATACTGGAATATTTCAACTTTAATAGTCTCCTTTTTTTTATGCCTGTAATAATTGCCCAGTCATTTATTTTGTTGCTGTGTATATTTCTAATTTTTGAATTAAATATTATTATTATTATGTATTTTTGTTACTACTACTATCATCATTATGTGAGAACATAACCTTATCTCCCACCTTTTGCCTTCGTCACAGGTTATCGTGACCCCTCCCTTGTGTTTTTGGAAGAATTAAGTGGTTTAGTTATTAGAGGAAAAGACTGAGGTTCATGCTGCTAAAACAGCTGGGAGCTCGTGCATTCAAATTATGTGTAATAATTACTCTCTAATAAATTAAACTTAGAATATACTAGTTAACAATTCAAATCTTGTCCAGGATTATTCTGATTTTGGTGCAGTCCTCATATATATCAAATCTAAAATCACCATCCCTAGGAACTATTAAGGTCTGTCAAAGTAAATACCATCTACTGTGCTCCTTTCCAACTCACATCTTTTTTTAAAAAATTTTTAATCCTCACCTGAGGACATTTTTCCATTTATCTTCAGGTAGAGTGGGAGGGAGAGAGAGAGAGAGAGAGAGAGAGAAAGAGAGAGAGAGAGAGAGAAACATTCATTGATGTGAGAGACACATTGACTGGTTGCCTCCCACATAACCCCAACCAGAGCTGGGGACTGAACTGCACCCTTGACTAAAATTGAACCTGTGATTCTTTGGTCCACAGACCGATGCTCTAACCACTGAGCAAAAACAACCAGACCTCCAACTCACATCTTTATACATTGTCATCTTTTATTCTTCTATTACATGAGAGGTCTGTTTCTTCTTTTCAGAAGGATATTCTCCCTTGTCATGCTTTCCATTTACCTCCTCTGGGACTTTCTAAAAATATATTTTTATTAATTTTTAGAGGGAGAGAGAGAGAAAACAACATCATTGTGATAGCAGAACATTCATTGACTGCCTCCTGCACTCCGCCTACTGGGGATTGAGCCGGCAACCTAGGCATGTGTCCTGATCAGGAATTGAACCAGCAACCTTCTGTACACGGGAGGATGCCCAACCAATTAAGCCATACTCACCAAGGCTGAGACTTTTTCTAATTATTACTTTTTTTCTCTTGCACATTAATTTTTTTCTTTCTTTCTTGGCATTTTTCCTCTGCTGATAAATAGGCTTGAGCCTCTAGATCCTAAAAACAAACAAAAGAGCAAAACTAAATGCTTCATTCACTCACACAGACCCCTCAGTTCCTTGAATACTAGTAGCCACTTAGTTGTTCATTTTTCCTATGCTCTCCCTTCTTAAAAGCACTGAGGGGCCCATACCAGTGGTGTTCCACTGGTGAGAAGAGGATTTTAGAATATTTTATCCACAGTTGTCACTATAGCCAAGGGTTGGTCCAGAAATTAAGTCAAGTTCACACCAGGAGGAAATCCAATAGTTAGATTCTCAAATCTGAAAGAGGCCATCTTGAAGTAGGCAAGTTCAAAGCCCAGGAGGTCCCAGGGTGAAGCTCAAAGGGGAAACACCTGTACTGTAATTCTAGCACCAACGAGGAGCTACCACTACACCTGCTCAGACCCTGGTTTCTGGGGTTTTAGGCGCCTATCCCAATAATTATAGGTAAATCAGAAAACACACAAATTTGTGAATATTGGAACTTAAACTTTGACCTTTTGGTGCTGTTTCTATTTTCTGCTAGGGCAGACTCAAACCCAAGGCCCTAGTGATTCTGAATTCACATGTGCATGTATCAGCTGACACACCTGAGGGGCATGAAGGTGGCTAAAGGTTAATTCTGAAAGTCAATGGCTTGTAAAGTTGGTTTTTTTAACTTATTTTTTTATCCTCATCTATGATATTTTCCACTGACTTTTATTTTTATTTATTTAAAAATATATATATGGAACACTTCACGAATTCACGTGTCATCCTTGTGCAGGGGCTAATCTTCTCTGTATCGTTCCAATTTTAGTATATGTGCTGCCGAAGCGAGCACTCCATTGACTTTTAGACTGAGTGGAAGGGAAGGAGGGAGAGATTAACATCAATGTGAGAGAGACACGTCGACTGGTTGCCTCCTGCATGACCCTGCAACTGAGATACATTGACCAGGAATCGAACCTGTGACCCTTTCGTTCGTGGGCTAATGTTCTAACCAGTGAGCAACCAGCCAGGGCTTTCTTAACTTTTGTATTTAGACCTTCTCTCTAAAACCAAGGCAAATTTTCTTTTAACCTGCTCAGTGGCTTAATGTTTCATTTGTTAAGTTCCTTCCTTTCTTGCCTGTGGGAAGACATGAATGAAAAGTACTCACAAGTGTTAATGTTGCTGATGAAGGTAAATATCTATCAGTGAAAACTGATATCTTATAAAGAGCCCTAAAAATAAATGCATTTTAATTATCCACTTAAAATAAACACATACATAGTAATAACATCCACATTCTACTCTGGGTAAGTTCTTATGTAGGTATTTCAGTCCCCAAAGCTGGCTCAGTCTAGGAAAAACAACTGAATCTACATATCTTCTCTCTCTTTCTGTTTTTAAGAGATCATCTCTATTTTTTCCCCAGTCAAATTTTCAACAAGCTACTGTTCTTCTAAACATACTTATCTGTCAGCAGTGAGCTTTGATTCCCGTGGTGTTGATCTTCAGCTCAGACACGGACTTCTTGTAGAAAAACAAAAGTGCATGCTAGGGCATCTCAGCTGCCAGGGTGTCTGCTCATTTTCTCTGAAAGTACAGATTCACTCACTGGAGGCCTTATTATTCAAAAATGCATAATTTTTTCCTACATTTCCAGAATGTATGAGAAAAACAGACATCTTTGACTTTCTTTTTTTCTTTTTCTTTTTTGGTACGTGCCCCTAGCGGGAACCGAACCCAGGAATGTCTGGTCAGCAGGCCGATTCTCCAACTGCTGAGCCAAACTGGCCAGGGCAGACAGCTTTCACTTTCTATTTCCCTGACAGCCCCACAGAGCTTTGGCCATTGAAGTAACTAAGAATTCCTGGGGCTCCAGGGGCCCAAGTCTGTTAGTGTTGTTGACAGAAGGGCTCCTCTGGGCACCTGCTGCCAGGTGTGCTCACCACACCTTTGTGAAGCGGCCTGATAACAATCTCAACACTGACTTTTCTTTTCCTGAGAAGCCAAGAGTACCTTAGGGATTTGTATTGCCTCTCAAAAGTTAGCAACACGAGATGGTCTGCACTGAAAAGCACAGTGCTTCCAGAGGGGAAATTGTAGGAGTGTGCAGAAAGAAATTGCAAAAAATGCTAGAAATCTCTCTTGCACACTCTCTCTTTCTCCTGTTTTCTGCCTCTATATTACACCCTGCAGTATTCCACTTTCTAAAATCTCTCTATCCCACCCACAATGCACTTATTCCATTCTCTCCACATCCTTGACAGCACTTGTTTGTTGATCTGTTGATAGTAACCATTCTGACAGTTGTGAGGTGATAACTCACTGTAGTTTTTATCTGCATCTGTCTAATGATTAGTGACTTTGAGCAATTTTGCATATATGTATTGGCGATCTGTATGTCTCCTTTGGAGAAGTGTCTATGCAGGTCCCCTGCCCATTTTTTAATTGCATTGTTTGTCATCCTGGTGTTGAGTTGTGTAAGTTCTTTATATATTTTGGAAATTAACCCCTTATCAGATGTATCATTAATGAATATGTTGTCCCATACAGTGGGTCCTCTTTTCATTTTGATGCTGGTTTCTCTTGCTGTGCAGAAGCTTTTTAGCTTGATGTAATCCCATTTATTTACTTTTTCCTTTGCTTCCCTTGCCCTCAGAGACATATCGGCAAAAACATTGCCGAGAGAGATGTCTGAGATTTTATTGCCTATGTTTTCTTCTAGGATTTTTACGGTTTCATGGCTTAAATTTAAGTCTTTTATCCATTTTGGGTTCAGTCTTATGTATGATATAATTTCGTGGTCTAGTCTTATTTTTTTGTATGTGCCTCTCCAGTTCTCCCGATACCATTTATTAAAGAGACTCTCTTTATTCCATTGTATCCTCTTGCCTCCTTTGTCAAATATTAATTGGCCATAGAGGCATGGGTTGATTTCTGGGCTTTCTGTTCTGTCCCATTGACCTATATGCCTGTTCTTATGCCAGTACCAGGCTGTTTTGATTACAATGGCCTCGTAGTACAGTTTGATATCCAGTATTATGATCCCTCCTACTTTGTTCTTCTTTCTCCAGATTGTTGCACTCTTAGTGGGAATGCAGACTGGTGCATTTCCACTGTGAAAAACAGTATGGAGTTTCCTCAAAAAATTAAAAATGGAACTGCCATTTGACCCAGTGATCCTAATTCTGGGAATATATCCTAAGAACCCCAAAACAGCAATCAGAAAGAATATACGCATCCCTATGTTTGTAGCAGCATTATTTACAATAGCCAAGATTAGGAAACAGCCCAAGTGCCCATCAGCAGATGAGTGGATAAAAAACTACGGTACATTTACACAATGGAATACTATGCAGCTGGGAAAAAAGAAGGAATTCTTATGCTTTGCAACAGCATGGATGGACCTGGAGAGTATTATGCTAAGTGAAATAAGACAGTCAGAGAAAGACAAATACCATATGATCTCACTAATATGTGGACTCTAATAAACAAAATTAACTGGTGAACAAAATGGAACCAGAAGCATGGATACATGAAACAGACTGGCCAGTGCCTGAGGGGATAGGGGTGGGGGTGACTGGATAAAAAAGGTGAAGAAATTTGCTAAAGAACTTATATGCATACCCATGGACACAGACAACAGTTTGGTGAAGGCCAAGGGATGGGGGAGATGGAAGTGGGTGGAGGTACGCTAATGGGAGCAAAGGGGGGATATCTGCAATAATATCAACATCAAAAATTTTTAATAAATCTAAGAAAATAAAATCTACCTACTGAACAAAGATGTTAATGGATCAGAACCCTCGATTAAACATTTTTGAGCCCTCCGTCCCCAGAACAAGAGATACACTGGCTAAATATTTTTCCATGGATCTGCCCTCAGTCCCTTCTGGCTCTCTGGACCCAGCAATTTATACAAGTCCCTCTCCTGCTCTTACTCATTCTAGCTACATACTCTTTCTGATTCTTATTATTGAGCAACTTTATTCTCACATAACCAAATCAAAAGATAACCTCTGCTGACCTGACTTTATGTAAGGCTGTGAGTGTATGTATGTTTGTGAATTATAAGAATTTAAGAATGCATAAGAAAATCTTTATTCCCAGATTGTTTCTGAGTTTACTTGGCAGCAGTAATATAAACTCATTCTTATGAGAGAAGGACCATTATCATGAGAAAAGTGAAGCTCAGATGTTTTAAGGGATGTGTAGCTATTTATGGTAATAATTTGAATTTAAGTTTGCTAATGACAAAATGTTTGCTCTTTCCAAATCTAAATAAGAAATATCTAAAGCTATAGAATTATACTTGAGGAAATCCTTCCTATATTCTTAAAAACTCGAGGAATTGAGAACATTTTCCAGTTGGTCTAATTTTCCTGATAGCATGATTGAACCATTCACTGGTTGAAGTTCAGGGGTACACTGGGGGATAATGCAAGATCAGACATTAGTACAAGAAAAAACAAGAGGAGCTTTATGGTGTCTGGAACTAAACCAATTTCCTTTCTTGAAATAATTTTCAAGTAAATTGCATCAAAACATTAATTATTCAATTATTTAGTGCCTGTATTGGCTAGATCTGGGTGGTACAGCAGTAAAAATGATAGATATTTGGTAGACTAAATAACAGCCTCCCAAAGATGTCTATGATCTAATTTCTTGTGAATATGTTACATTTCAAAGAAAAAAAAAGGGCTATACAGATGTGATTAAGGTTAAGGATCTGAAAATAAGAATATTCTTTTGGGCTGCATTAATAAGATACCACAGACTTTTGGGCTTGAATCACAGAAATTTACCTTCTGACAGTGCTAAAGGCTAGAAATGCAAGATCAAGGTGCCATCAGGATTGATTTCTGGCAAGACCTCTCTTTCTGACTCATAAATAGTTGGCTTCTCCCTGCGTCTTCACATGTCCTTTGTATTCTCTGTATGTGCATGAAGAGAGAGGAAGATCTCTGATGTCTCTTCTTTTTCTTATAAGGACATCAGTCCTATCAAACTAGGGTCCCAATGTTGTGACCTCATTTGACCTCCTTAAAGGCCCTACCTATCTCCAAACAGAGTCACATTTGAGGTTAGGGCTTCGACATATGAACTGGTAGGGAGGAGAACACAAATCAGTTTATGACAAACAGTATCCTGAATTCTCCATGTGCGCCCAATCCAATCATATGGGCACTTAAAACAGAGACTCTTCTCTGGCTACACTCAGAGAAATGGGGTGCAAAAAGAGCCAGAAGTGTCAGAAGGACCCAACCTGATATTGCTGGCTTTGAAGGTGGAAGGGACCACAAGCCAGAGAATGCAGGTGGCTTTTGAAAGATAAGAATGTCCTTGGCTGACAGCCAGCAAGTAAACAAAAACTCAGTCCTACAGCCACATGGAATAAAATTCTACCAACAACATGCAGAAGCCTGGAAGCATATTTTCTGTTAGAGCCTTCGGAAAGGACTACAACTCTGTAGATCTCTCAATTTCAGCTTTTGAAACTCAAGCAGGGAAAACAACCAAACCCACTGTATTTCTAAACAACAGAATTCTGAGATAATAACTTTGTGTTGTTATTAGCTGCAAAGTTTATGGCATCTTCTTATCAATACAAGACTAATATAGATATGATCTCTTCTTTCCCAGAGTTTTTATTCTAGTGGGCCAGATCACAACAGAGCAAGCCGATAATATAATTGTGAAGTGTAAAATAATTGCTACGTGAGATATAAGGAAACATGAAATGAAGAATGACATAGAGGACCCGGGTATTAAGAGTTGTTGGTAAAAGTAATATTTAAGCTGAACAAAGGAAGAAAAGGAGCTGGCTGCTAAAAGAACCAGAACAAGGGCACC